CCTGTAACTGAAATGGAAGTTTTCTCAATTACTTATTATTGTTATTATTATTTTTCTAAAGACAAGTAGTGGATGAAATTTTGTTTGATGTATAGACACTAAATATAAATATCTCTTTTAATAAAAATTTAAATATTAGTTTGTCACATGAAAGCTAATTTTTTTTGTTAGATCTAATTCTTATCGGTCACATCACTTGTTTAAGTAAATATATAAATTAAAAAAATGGGCCGTACAAAAGATGGGCTTCTCACTTTTTTTAAAAAAAATTTTTTAACAAGCTGGGCTGCTGAATTTGAACCCTAAATCTTCTTCCTGCTATTCAAATTTTAGACAGTGTTGTAAAAAAAAAAAACAAAAGGACAGTACCTCAAACAGATTTTTAAAAGTAAATCAGAGTGGAAAAAAAACACAATTGGTGTAGTAAATAATGCTTACTTTAGACATGTTGAATTTGGAGATTGGAGAAATTTTCTCATATTATATGGCGAAATAACTTGATGATATATATTGCTCAGTAGAAACAAGAAAATATGGTTTGAAGTAAGTTCATTAGTCTACTGAAAGCAGCGAGGTTCATGTAAAACTTTTCAAGTGCAGTGTGTCTATCTCTCTTTTTAATCTTTCTTAGACGTAAGCGTACAAATAATTATTTTTCATATTGGTGAATCTTGTAAAAATGTGGAACCAATTTGCTGCTGATTAGCGTAGTGATGAACATCAGTGTTTATAGTTACGATGAGATCTACATCATCTAAATATAGTTTATTCAGATTTAAAATTTCTAATGGATGGTTTTTTTAATAAAAATCTTTTAGAAAATTGAGAGTTAAGTCACAGCTGACTAATTTTAATATCAAGAGTTCATATTTGATGCTCATCACTTGACGGCTACTTCCTCTATTTCTTATTATAAGAAACAACTATCAAAATAATACAACTCAAAATTGTTGGTTAAATTTAGTTGAAAGCAATAAATATGTAAATTAATTATTAACTTTACATTGAATAAAGAGGGTATCATAATTTGATTAACATAACACATAAGTTAGTTAATTTATCACTCTTGAAACAAAATTTTTCTTTCCTATTTTATCTATATTTTTAAAATTTAATGATCACATTATTTATTGATATTATTATTTTAAATTATATCCTTATATTAACTTGTCAACTATAACATCCAAGGAAGCGTTAAGCTATTAACCATGTATCAAAATTAAAAAAAAAATAAAATAAAAGACCACATTAATAATAGTAGAATTAACTATTTTTTTTCATATTATTGTAATTCTAAATTTATAATAGGCCTAGACTAGCCTAACAGGCTTCTTAAAGAGCTTAGATATGGCTTATTAAGCTGAACAAATCTTCAAACATGCCTGAGCCTCTTTTTTTCAAAAACAGGTCGGGTCAAGCCAAATGCGGCCCAAGTCACAAACCCTTAACAAACTGCTTAGCCTGTTTCCATCCCAAATTATTTGTAAATGGAGTACATAAGAAATAGTGAGTGAAAATTTATTGTAGAGAGATAATAAGTAGCATATATTTAATAGAGATAAAAATGAAGATTTTTTTTATATTTAGGAATATTATTATAAGAGATTATTTCTTATAAAAAGAAACACATATAATGATTTGGAAGTTGGAAGGTTGCGGGTTATCTAGGGACTAACACTAGCATTTGTCCAGTGGGCACAGGAAGCGCATTGAGAATGAATAAGGCAGTATGTGATTGTTAGGTTAAATAATTTCTCATTGAAGATTCATATCTGTTTGATATTGATTTTTTGATATTTAATTACATGCTTTTTTTTTTGGGAATAGAAAATCACATGCATTTTGTACTACAGTATTGATTACTAGTTAATTACTTAATTTATACCGGGGCGGTGCTATTTATTGGCGGCCTGCTTCCCAATAGAAATAATTAATAATTAGTATCCTAACATCAATTAGTCTAAATACGTTGGCAAAAGAAATCAGTCTAAATAATAGTAAAAGAATAACATAGTAATATCCTAACATCACAATATTAATATAATAATGTCTCCTTGAGGGCAAAAAGAAAATATACAATGTTTCCTGTGTCAATAGCTTTTATAATTTAAAGTTTTTGGGTGAAAACTAAATTATAGTTCCAAAAATAATTTTACAATATATGAAGTAAATATATGATGGAAATTGTCTCAATTATATTTATGTAAAAGCACTTTTTAAAAATGCTTATGAGAGTTGCCAAAGTAGTGACACAACATCTCTTATCTAAATGAGAGATCGTGAGTTTGATTTCACTTATTATCTTATGTTAGAACATTAGAAGAAAATGTCTTCACTTCTCTTATGTCCATTTAGGTGCACTCCTTCCCTTGCAAATCATGTTGGAAGTGAAAGCCGGAAACGCTGGCACCAATGAATTAATAACATTTTTTTTTTACTTTTCATTTAATACTAGTATAGTAATAATGAAGTAATATTAAATACACTAAACCATCAAGTTATAACTTTAATTTAGCAAGTAGTATAGTAATAATTTGTTGGCAAAAAAATAGTAATAAATTTAATTTAAGTGTTAACAATAAGTTATTTATATGTTTCCTGATGATGATTTTAAAATTTTAAAAATAAAAATGCCAACTTTTTTGGTAGTGCAAATGTTTTGGCCGTGATGTGAAAGGAAGGGGATGCAGAGAAGCAGTGACTAGGTTCTCTCTTAAGGTTCTCAGAGATACAAGATAGTTTCATGAGCATTTACGTTTATTTAATTTGTTAAATTTCCGATTCATATTGACTATTGAGGCATATATAAATAAATAAATAAATATATATGTACATATATATATATATACACACACACGTGTGTGTGTTGGTTTTAATGGTTGATAGGATCCAAATTATATCTCTTAATTTCATCTCTGTGATCATTTGGAGGATAACAAGAAATTCTTGGCCTCTGACCAGATACTAGAAAGCTTTTTAAAACCAAATTAAAACAAAACAAAAAAAAATTCTTTTCACCCATTTTTAAAACCAGGGACTTGAGGATATTGTTATTTTGATATACTATTCCCTATTCTCAATGTACGACTTAGTTGACTAATTTGAAGATTTAGAAAGGTAAATAATTACTTTAAATTATTATATTTATTATTTTTATCCAAATTAATTTACCTGGTTTATAAACAAGTATATAATCTAATGACATGCGTAAATATTTTAAAGAGATAACATAACATATGCTATAATAAAATAATTTTTCAACTTTCTTAATTTTCTTAAATTAGTTAATTAAGTTATATATTAAGGATTAGAGGTAGTATAGTGCTTTTCTACTAAGAAATTTCTTCATTGTAAGAAGCCTAAAAATACCAGATTTCTTTTCAAAATCTAAATAAATTATTATGATAAGATAATTAAATGAAGATAGAGTAAGAAAATTAAAGAACAAGCAGGTCCCAAAAAAAAAAAAAAGAACAATCATGTGTTCCACGCGTCACACTCTGCGCCTTTGAATCAGTTAGATTACTAAATTGAGAGTACTAAAAAATTAATTAAGTTAGTTATTTATTTGTGACAAATGAATGCTATTTTTTTTAAAATATCTCTATCAATCATGTCCATTGAAATTATTTGTTGATGAAAACTCTTTAACACATATAAGCAATCACCATAGAGATTACTTTGGGTAAAATAAATAAATATGATAAACAAAGTAAATTGAAATTTTATATTTATGACCAAATTGAGTCTCCAACTAACTCTTATATTTGCAACAAGTAAAAAATGTCCACAAGTACCACCGCCTAGTTTTGGTCCCGCCCATTAGTTCATAGTGCCATAGAGCGGACCCATGATTTTGAATTTAACCTCTCCCTATTATGCTTATAGTCGCCCTTGTGTGATAAATGCCTCGGGTTCTGCCATTTCCTTCACTTCATCTTCTATATGCAAATACATAGCATAACCATGGCAGCAGAAAAGTCTCAACCCTCTGATCTTCCTGTTCATCCCAAGTACTTCTCCACGAAGATGAAGAACCATCCCAAGAATGCAAGGACCTCATTTCTACCTTAGGCTTCGTTTGGTTCTGTAGAGGGGAGCGGAGGAGAGGTTAATTAAAAGAAGGGGAGAGGAGAGGAAGGGAGGTCATGAGTTTTGTTTGATTGGAGGGGAGGGGAAGAGAGGGGAGATTTCTTGTTTGGTCCATAAGAGGAGGGGAGGGGAGGTAATTATAAATTGACAAATATACCCTTATCTCTATATTTAGACTACTTTGTTCTTTTATTACAATATTTATATCAAAATTATTATTTCTTAATTTATTAATTTCAAAAAAAAAGCCAATTACCTCAATTACATGTGATAAAAAAATTATGATAAAACTAAAAAAATTAGGAAATATGATAAAAAGTTTAACATTCTATCTCATTAATTTTATAATTATAATACACACACGTTATGATATGTATATATTAATATATATATGCATGTTTGCAGCCCAATTGAGATTATAATACACACATAATATATAATTATAATACACGCACATTATGATATGCATATATTAATATATATGATATGTATATATTATATAATTATAATACACCACCCTCTATTAATGTATACGATCAGATTATATTATGAAAAAAATTATTGCCAATTATAGAAATATTATATTATCAAATACCATTAGTGGCTGAAAAGAGAGAAGTGAGAAAAGGGTTTCTAATAAGAGGGGCAAACTTGAAATATAGAAAAGCTAGTATGGCTAGTTTAGTCAATATTAGATATAATATTTCTCTTCCTTCCAAAAAACCCCAAATTTAGAGGGGAGCAAAAGGAAGAGAGGGGAGCATTAAAAGACAAATTTCTTCCCTCCCCTCCCTTCTATTTTTCCCAACCAAACACACTAATCTCATTCTCTCCCCTCCCCTCTCCTCACTTCCCCTCAACAACCCTCCAACTAAACAGAGCCTTACCCACAGAATCGGATTAGATCAATGTCCAATTCCAACAATATAATGGTTTCTGGTTTGCCAAGAGGCACATGCAAGGAATCCTCAACTGTCAAAACCACTTTCAAGCTCAAGATTCTGACATCATCCTTGTCACTACACCCAAATCAGGCACCACATGGCTCAAAGCCCTTGCTTTTGCCATTCTCAACCGCTGGACCCATTATCCAATTAGTCCACATTTGGACGACTCAGCTCAAACTTGTCGTCCTCATCCTCTCCTCACAACTGATCCTCACGACCTCGTACCCTTCTTAGATATGAACCTTTACTACCAGAAAACCATGCCTGATTTAAGCTCACTCCCATCACGCTCTTTGCAAGTCATCTCCCTTATGTCTTATTGGCGGAGTGTATGAAGCAGTCAGGGTGTAAGATTGTGTACTTATGTAGGAACCCTAAGGACCTGTTTGTTTCAGGGTGGCAATTTGCAAACAAGATAAGATCTGAAACCCGAGGGTCAATTTCAATCCAGGATTCATTCGGCAAGTTATGGAAGGAGTCATTGGTTTTGGGCCGTTCTGGGATCATATGTTGGGGTACTACATGGAGAGTTTGGAGAGGCCAGAGAAGATATGCTTTTGAGGTATGAGGAGCTGAAGGATGAGCCAGTCAGGATTTTAAAGAACCTAGCTAATTTTATGGGGTCTGGTTTTTCTAAGGATGAAGAAGAGAATGGTAATGTTGTGGAAAATATATTGAAGCCTTGTAGTCTTGAGAGTTTAAGGAATTTGGAAGAAAATAAGAGTGGGAAAACGAAATTTGGGGTAGTGAATAATGCTTACTTTAGACAAGGAGCAGTTGGAGATTGGCAGAATTTTCTCGCATTAGACATGATGAAACGATCATGATATTGCTCAGAAGAAACTAGGAATTTATGGTTTGAAGCTTTAAATCCTTATAAGTTCATTGGAACATCTCTAGTCTACCGAAAGCCGCGAGGTTCAGGGAAAGCTTCTCAAATGCAGTGTCTTATATCTCTTTTAAATCTTTCGCAGAAGTAATGGTACAAGTAATAATTTTTCATCTGTGAAATCTCTTTTTCATTTTGTTTTCGTTTTTATTAAAATTCATTTTGCGAATTAAAAAGATCTTATATATTTATCATTACTTGATGTAAGAAACAATTAGAATATTTTATTCTGATAACAACAATTAGAATATTTTTATCTGATCATTAATGATTAAAAAACATGTAACTAATGCGTCCCACATTTTCTTTCGTCGTGAGTATCTTTTTGACATCGACATTTTTATATGATGCAGGTGCGTAAATTGAAATTCTTCCTCGTTCATCGGTTCTTATACTCTGTTCCACAGCAAATAATGATTGTCTACAAGGTCTGTGTGTCTATTAAGTCAAGTCTTAACTGAAGGGGGGAAAAAACTGCCTTTGTGTGTCGAATTGTGACTCAACGAGTTTTATCATTGCCTGATAGTGCTATGCACTAGCTTTGACTTATTGATCGAACTCATTTCTTATCTGTCAATTCATGTTTTATTTGGAAATTTTATTATGTTATTTGGGAATAAAATACATTATTTATGTGATTTATTTGGATTAGAGATGATAGCATAAAAATTGGAATAAAGAGGGCAAAATTGTCATATTTTTGTGATTATTTTTATTTAATTGATTTTATAATATATGGTATTACATCATCTTAATTTGATTTGTAGGTCACTTGAGAAAAATTGGAATTAAAAGCTGAAAACAACAGATGGCTAGGACCAAAATTAATGACAATTAAGGATAAAGTTAATATTGTTGAAAGAGCAGAATTAATGATAGAAGTATAGAACAGTCCCCCAATTTCGGAAATGACAATTCAGGGTCAAACTAAAAAATATGCATTTTTGCAAAATAGGGCAACATATTGTTCATATAATCCCACACATTTCAGCCTCCATATATCACCACACCTCACCTCTCGACTTCTCTCCATTCTCTACTCACTATTCAACTATTTCTTCGTCAAAAACACTCTCCATTCACCTCCATTCATCATCTTTTTCATCTCCAACCTCTATTTAATTTCATGATCTCCACCAGTTGCATTGGTTTGCTGATGTTGCTATTGCTAAGATGCCCATGAGGGGCTGAGAAGCTTGCTAGTTTTCTAGTTTTAATTTTTGTTTTCAAGTTGTATTTGAATTTCCTAGGTTTAGGTTGTTTAATTTATGTACTGGATCAGAATTCCTTTGTTGGTTGACTCCAAGATTAATGTATTTGTGATTTGGGACCTCTATTACATAAATCATATAATCTAAAATATAAAACCATTTGTAGAAATTTCAGCAGAGTCTCCATAGTAAATTGGACTTCCCAAAAGTTCTACAACAACCTGCAAGTTTAGAACAGTATTTGGAGCTCCGCTCACCAGCACAAGTATATGTAAATACATACCAAAATATCCAAAAGATTGGGACCTAACTATAGATTATGGGGAGCATCTAACTATAAAATTAAATACATAAGTGTACTCTTGAGTTTACATTAGTTAGTAACTACTCAAAATAGTTTCACAAATTTTGTTTCTTCAAAGAGGCTTCTCACTACTCAAGTGGAAGTATGGGGTCTGCGGTGCTATCTAAAGCCAAAATAATCTACCGATGAATAACATTCCATTTATAAAATTAACTAAGATACTAAAAGAATGAATTGAAAAAAAAAATTCAAATTCAAACTATAATATGGTGAAGAATAAGTTTCTATAATACATAGTCATAATTTACAAGAGAAATATATATTCGAGCTCGTTAAACCAATAAATCTAAATTCATAACAAAACAGTTTGTTATACATAAATAATATAAAATGACATTTCTCGGACCTTATCTTTTTATGGAACTTTAACAGAACAAAATAGCAAGCACGGCTTGAAGCCATGAGTACAAGCATGGACACACAGTCTATGAAAGTAAGTAACCAATCAAGTGTGGCTAAAGCCATGAAACAAGCATATCTGAAGCCACGAAACAAGTGTGGGAATGATGCCTACAAATAACAAGCGAACTCAAAATGAACATGGCATGCCAAAGACTAACAATGCTGCTATTAGTAACCAATATTCTATATTCAATCCTCTCAAAAGGTGCATAAGCATGCGTGGCATCATTTTATTACTGAGAAATGGTGAAATATATGTATTAGTTCTAATGAAATCCTTTAAGAAATATTCTATAGCAAATGATCCCATCATAAGGATTTTCAAATAACATTTTCAGAACTTCCTTTCAAACCTCAAGCATAAATATGTACTAAAAACAAAATGCAGAGTAGCAAATTGTAAGTAGCACCTTTGTTCAATATATAAAAATGTAAGTGTTCTTTCAAGAAGCAAAAATTAAAGCACTTAATAAATAAGATTGAAAACGATAAATTTAAATCAATCAACCTTGATAAACTATTTAATAAAGAGGTTGATAATTTAACTAAATTTGATAACACATAGTAAAACCTTATTTTTTTAAAAAACTATAATAATGGGACATTATTCACTCACCTGTTGTGCTATCCACCTTTGACTTATTTCAGTTTATAAAGTTTTGAGTTAAGTTCACTCCTTAATATCCTGAAGCCCCAAAAACGACATATTAATATTCATGCCAAAATTATATAAAAGTTTTCACAATAACTTGATCAATAAAAACTTCAAGAACAATTTAAAAAAAATTCTAAAAACTAGAATACCATTTGATTCCCAAATTCCAATAACTTTTATAGGAGGGCATTATAATATTAATCTATCTCACAAAATTTACCGCAATGGTTCCCATTTTTAACATGGAACAATGTTAACTCAATCTAATTTTCTCAACATATCATCCTCGTCCATCCAAACCCAAAGGACGGGCGAGAAATTTAACCTGGTCCTTAAATGACAAATCAAATATTTCATGTTGAACTTTAAATTTTCATTTGGTTACTTGTATGCCAACTTTATTGCAAGAATCTTCAACCACTCGCCTCATAACCCACAATTCACCATTGTCATCAATCACTCAAACCGTCCAACATCATGTAAGCATTCAAACTAAGCCACTAAACAAGCATTTGGAATCATAACTTCTTAGCATACCTTTCTCTTAAACATTTTTACAAAGATCTTATATGCAGTAATAATTAAACAAGATCATCAAGCATATTAATCCACAATTCCAACCTTAACAAAATTCATAACAGCCACAACAAGCCAAAAATTTCGTCGCCCAGCACATATACGAGCATTAAATCAAAACAGGAAAAAAAAGAAAGAAAAGAAAAGCGAGAGTGCTAACTTATTTCGATCACACTGATAATAGAAAACCGAGAAATTAGAGGAGAGGAAGACAGAGATTGCATCAACAATCATGCAGGAGAAAGAAAAAATGAACTCCAATCCTTCCAACCACCCAAATTGAACAAAGCAATGGAGAAAAATGGCATAAAGAAGCTGGAAAGCACAGAACCGAAACAAGCCAAGAGAATCACAGCGGCTGTGACATCTCCGACAGCAAGAAATGGTGGGAGGGGTGGTGAACTATTGGAGGGGGGGTAAAGAGGTCAGGGTTTGAAGTTTAATAGCCATTCTCCAGATCTCTCCTCTCTGTGGTTAAACAAAAGGCATGGACAAAAAAATCGGCTGCTATTTTCTTTTCTTTTTTAAACAAGGGTATTTAACTAATTTGCGTTCTAAAGCTAAGCCAAAAAAAAAAAAAACTCCTTTAACCAAGGTTGGGATTCGAACCTAGAACCTCTGGCCTCCATGACAACCTTCACTATCATCTATCCTCAAGCTGTTTTTAGCACTCAACTGCAACAATTAATATACGTATTAATTAATTTATTATGTAAGGTATTGATTAAAGAAATAAGCTTAAGAATTAATCCCAATTGCATAGCATTAACACCCATTAACATCAGAAGAACTAGGGTAACCCAAATGCCATTCTCAAGAGGCTCCATTATCGTTTTCCCTAAAATCCAATCCATTCCATCCTCTAAGTAAAATTCCAAAAAAGAACTAGCTTTAGAATTTATTTCATCATATCATTTAGTTACAGTTGAAATGATTTCAAAGCCAGCCACTTTTATACATATTGCATTTAGGACATCTAGATGCTAGGTATAATATCCCAAATTTTGTGGATTTAAGTAAAGCATGATTGAGGGGAAATTTTAGAGAAATTGTTGAGATTAAAACTCTTAAAATATGGTCTAAATAATTATAAAGCTAATTTTGGGAACTTAGGACCTATTTTATTGGGAAATTCAAGAAAAATAGTTAGGAATTAAACTTTGACCCAAAATTTTTAGAGACATTGTATTATGGGTCAAAGAAGCTATTGGAGGGAGAGAATTCATATAAAATTTAAGGATTAATTTTTGGACACATTTCATTTTCTTAGAAAAATAGAGAAGGATCAAATTCAAGGAAAATAAAGACTAAAGGGCATAATGGTCATTCCACATCCCTCACCCATGTAATTTAATCTGCCCTAACACCTTCTCCTTCTCAGCCAGAGAAAGAGAGACCAGAGAGTTTGAGTGAGAAGCCCAGGACGGGAAGGAGGGAATCGATTCATTTAAAAGTAGGAAATCAACTAAGGTAAGCCTCATGAACATCCTTCTACTCTTCTTCCTCTCATCCGTTGCACCTTAGAAGAGAAAATGACAGATTAAGATTCTGGGTTATGGGGAAAAATCAGTATCTAAATGGAATAAAGGTACTAAAGTGTAGATAGAGGCTTGATCAAGTACGTATGGTGTTTCCTATAGTGTTGGGTTCTGTATGTGATGTTTTCAAACTCAATTTCTGTCCCTGTCCTGGTTTGTAGCGTTGGGTTCTGTGGGCTTGAAGAAGATGAT